AGAGAGGAGAAGAAGAGAGGAGGGGGAAGTAGAGAAGAGAAGGATGACAGAGGGAAGAAAGGAGGCAGGGAGGAAGAGGAGAGAGGGTGAAGAAAGTGATGGATAAGGTAGAAATATGATGTATGGAGAGCAGGAGACCTAATAATTGTTTTTGGGAGTTAATGGTAAGATGAATTGATGTAAACATTTAATAATACAATACGATGTTGGCTATGTAATAGTATACATGTGGGTTACATGTTATGAAAATGAAAAAATAAAAAACTTTATACAAGAAATTTGTAAGGAAAAAGAAGGATGACTAGAAATAAGGTGAATGGATTGGATTAAAATGTCTATGGGTGTACCAGTGAAAAACCTAAAGAGTCTTGTTGGGACAGATCTTTCTGGAGAAAATCTATCTGTGGTCACTAAGAGTTTATATCAATTTGACGGGACATAATCTAGCCTATTAGTACAAATTATATAGAGAGTGTAGGTATGCTGAAGTATGCTCCTCTTTACAGAACCTAAACTCACTTTCAAATATTGGTTGGTATTTTATTTGATTTCTATATGAGCTATTGCACAAAAGTGAAAGGAAAACAAAATAGGTGCTTCTTCGCATGAGTTAGGATGATATGGAACTCAGACATAAAATGCTACATAGAATAGCTTGGACATACCCATAAAGAGAAAGGAACATATAGGTTTTCTTTATTCCTTTTCCCATTCTTGATCTCCTCCCCTATGACTTTAATATAGTATTATTATGCTCTACACATTTTGGAACCCTCAAGCATAACACTGCTATTAGAATTTACTTCTGCAAAATATTTTTGCCCGTTTTCCTTTCCATGTCTCAGAAAATTATTTCTTGTCTTCCCTTCAAGCTTATATTTGTTTCAGGATTCTAGATTTGTGTTCAAGATCTTGTAGCACAGTAATAAGAGTGTATAACCTTTTAATTAACTTGGAAATCAACACTGTACATTCCCTTAATTTTCAAAGACTGGGCATTTGCACAGTCTTAACTTTAAAAAGGAAATTTACAGATTGTTATTTTGATGTAGGAGCTGTATTATTATTAGTTATCAATATCTATAAAATGGTGCTTATTTGTTTGATCATTTCTATACTTCTCTAGTCCAAATTACTTCAATCCCTAAAGCAACATTAAGTAAATGTTTCCAGTTCTATGATTCAGTATATGGTTTTGTGCATCTTTGAATGAGTATAGGATTTATGTTTAACTGATCTCTCTAAAATTAAAAGAAAAAAAGTAAAAAAAGATTTTTCTAATATTTAAAATCTAAAACACAACTCCTTACTTGAGTAAATTACCCATGAATGAAGGTAAATATACATGTCTCGGGATAATGTTGCAGGATCTAATCTAGCAATTTTAGAGAGACGTTCCCTGAAGATGGGCTCCAACACGAATCTGAAAGCTTGGAATACAAAATATCTGGTCCTGGTGACCAACCCAGATTGAATCCTGCAAACTACCTGCAGATTAGAAATGAGCTGATTCCTATTGGATTTGTGCATGCTGTTGCTACATCTGGTCCAGAATTATCGTTTAAATGAAAACCATGTTTCCTATGAAAAACATTGGGTAATTTCATTTTTTTTTTTAGTTTCTGGATTCATAAGTATGTTATGTTGTCATTTGTTTAAGAATTGTTTCAATAAGTTACACTTGCCTAGCGTTGCACAACACATTAAGTCATAAACTATATCATGCCAACAACAAGAACAGGCTTCAGGCACTATTCCAAGTTAAGCCCAAACAAATCACAAATTGTAATAACATTAGTGTGTTATATGACTTTAGCCAGTATGTAAATGCTTAACCAAGTATGAGGTAGTTGTTGTGGATATTTAGCTATCCCACATTCTTTTTTCAGACATTCCCATTTACCTAAGCATTATGGCATAAAAAATTATCCCAACACCAGACTGATTTTAAATTGAATTCTTTTCCTTTTTAAAAGGAACTTTGTTTTCTTTTTTAAAATGTTTTTTTTAAAAAAAAACAACAGTTTTTGTTATGGTTATGAAAGACACTTTTCTTTTTTAAGGTGCTTAAAGGCGCTTTGGGTGCCTTTGGGAGGAGAAGCAAACAAATGTATTAACAATTATTTCTGAATGAGAAAAAATAATTGGGCAGGTACTGAGAAAATCAAGCATTTAAGTTAAGAATAGTTACAGAATTTAAAGAACATGTTCATCAATATCATCTTTTGTCAATTGAAGGCATGGATAAATATATTTTAGAATGGCTATGCATACTGTGCCTTAAAGTAACATTCCTATTTTCAGTTTCCTTTACAGAAGATGAGAAAGAACAGTTAAGAAAATTCACTAACAGGACATTCCTGCTTGATAAAACAACCAGCCAACAAGTCTATCTGAGCTTAATTGATATTCTTTTAGCATATTGCTATGAGGTCTGTGCCACTGAAGGAGAAAATAATGTGAGTTAGTCTTTCTTCTCTTCACTTGCTTCACAGTATGGTATTTTAGTTAAGTGGCTCCATCATGAAAACTATAGAGCTACTCTGTAATTTGGGAGGTTTAGTTCTTAAACTAGACTTTGTTCTTTGCTGAAGTACAGAACTGCAGGGTATTATCACTAGGTAGCTTGCTGTGTGAAGAAACAGAAATGAATAGGAGATTTAATCTTGGTCTGACAGGCATGTTGGACTAAATTTAGCAGAAAAGAAAATGAAGGGGGGATTTGGAGAGAATATTTGGCTTAAATGTGTGTTGGAAAAGTATAGACATATTTTAGGAACAGCAGTTGATGGTGTTCATATAAATCAACTAGGATTTTCTTTTTCAACGAAACAAGCAAACCAGGCCAAGAATACTACAGATAGACCTCAACTTCTATCACAATTGAGCCCAAAATTTCCATTGTTAAGTGAGGCAATTAAGTAAATTGATTGACTTTGCTTGTTGGAAGCAGGCTGGGAAGTTTACAACTGATGATCACATGACTTCAGGACAGTGCAGGTGTCATAAATACATCCCAGTTGCCAATGCCTGAGTTTTGATCATGTGGCCCTGGGGATACTGCAACAGTCATAAGTGTGAGAACCAATCATAATTCACTTTTTTCAGTGCCATTGTAACTTCAGTCATTAAAAGAAGGGTTGTAAGTTGAAGACTGCCTGTATTCGATGCATTCAGTATGGACTTCCAAGTTCAAAATATATACAAGATAAATAAAAATTAGAAATGAGAATTAGGAATGTATAGCAACATTGCCTCAATATAAAGATTTTTTTTTCTTCCCAACTTTTAGTTCAATAAGCAAAACAAAGCATAAGAGAACCAGTTTGGTCTAACCGGGTGTTAAGGCACAGATTAGAAACCAGGAGAATGTGAATTCTAGTCAGTGGTGGGTTGCAGGTGGTACGTCCCAGTACGGGCTTACCAGATCCGGCCTGGAGCATCAGGTACCGGTACGGTGCTCCGGAGGGCCCATCTGCCTGCCTGAGCTCCTTACCTGTGCTTTAAGCTTTTGGCGCTTCCGCGCATGCACATGGCACATACGGCACCTGTGCGACACTCCACCAAGCAGCTGGAGCATTGCTGAGGCTTGCGCAAGCGTCATTTGATGCTACAATGCATGCGCGCACTGCACACATGCATGTGGGTGACTCCAGGGCCGTTCCAACCGGACCAGTTGGAATGGAATCCGGAACCCACCACTGGTTCTAGTCCATCCTTAGGCACAAAGCAAGCATGACCCATCAAAACCGCGGTCCACTAAAGCGCGCCCGATTAAAGCGCGTACCTGACGTCATCAGCAGCACGACAAATAAAATTAAAAATAAATTAAAATTAAATTAAAATTAAATTAAAGCAAGCCGATTCACATAAAGGTAAGGGTTAGGGTTAGGTTAAGGGTTAGGGTTAGGGTTAGGGTTTGTTTTTGTCCCGCTGTGATGATGTCACGTACACGCTTTCGTCGAGCGCGCTTTAGTCTACCGCGGTTTTGTGGTGGAACCCAAAGCAAGATGGTAACCTTGGGGTGGGCACCCTGTCTCTGATGTAGGAAACAGACTATGGCAAACCATTTCCAAAAAATCTTGCCAAGTAAATTACAGAGACTTGTCCAGGCAAATGCCAGGAGATTAAAAACTTATCGTATTTTTCAGAGTATAAGATACACCTTTTTTTCTCAAAAAGAGACTGAAAATCTGGGTGCGTCTTATACATCAAATACAGCATTTTTTGCCTCCCGAAGCCTCGCCCTTTCACCAAAATGCCTATGCCTACCTTAATGGAAGCTTTCAAAGAGCTCATGGGGGCTGGGGAGTGCAGAAATGAGCAAAAAACAGGCTGTTTCCCCCTCCCCCAGTCCCCAGCAGCACTCTATAAGCCTCCATAAGGCTATGCCTGCAATTTGTTTTGACAAAAAACGGGCCTTTTTTGCTCATTTTTGGCGCTCCCACCTCTTCAGGAGCACTCTGCAAGCCCCTCCAAGGCTACTCATGCCTTCTAAAAAAAAACGGGCCCGTTTTTGGGAGGTTTGCAGAGTGCAAAAACTTTTTTTTTCCCTTTTGGAAAGTTCTTTAACTGATTGATGAGAATTACATTGATCAAGTGCTGTGCCAGCAGAAACAAAGTTAGGTGCTGCAGATTGTCAGCGATTTCCTTCTCCAGCACATGGATAAATACACCTGGAAACATCTACCTCTTTCTCTCTCTCCCCACCTATCTACTGTATTTCTCTCTCTCTCTCTCTCTCTCTCTCTCTCTCTCTCTC